AGACATAATGCCAAAAATACTTATTCTCTAGGCATGAAATTGGTCAATGGACTCTTTGTATATGGGCATGCATGAACTGTCGCCTAAGGAAGTAGCCCGGCTCTATTTCTCTGGGGTAAACAAAACGGCTCAATTGTCAGAATCTCACATCACTGATCGCCACCAGAGTGCCAAAGTCCCTTGAGAGGAGTCTGGGTGTTAACACGAGTTAAGTAAAGCTGGTGGCTGATCATAGCAGTAGTCTAATGACAACGCAACTCATGGTAGCTTAACCACCGCAAGCTTAGTGATGACTTGTGTGTGTGTGTGTGAGTTTGTTTACGGTGAGGCGGGGCTTATCTTCACGTACCACACTTCTCTCACACCCAGCATATTTTTGTTGCAAGGCCAGGTCAAGATGCTGGAGATGGACATGGACGCGGTGACTGACCAAAAGTCAAACAGACCACCTTTACGCGACACACGACCTAGTTCCAAACGTCACACGTTAAGGTCTGAAAGAAAGAAGGGGACTGAAATCTATTGTTTGCATTGGCCTCCTTCTCTGTTGACTTTTCCATCTGTTAATGCCCTGTCCGATTCAAGCCAACCGAAGAGGGGGTTGAGAGCATTTGATGATGATGATGAGGATGATGATGATGATGACGACGACGACGACGACGATGATGATGATGATGATGATGATGATGATGATGATGATGATGATGATGATGATGATGATGATGATGATGATGATATGACGTGAAACCCTCCGTTTGCGCGTGCCATACACGCATTGGTTCATCACTCCTCAAGGACCAAACAAAAAGGATCCCACACAGGTGAGATATGTGTATGTTCACACACACAGTGGTTCGCGCGATGTTATGATGTCGGAAGAGTGCATCATCTGAGTGTCGCGTGAGTAGTGGGATGTTTGGCCTATCGTTAACATGTCCACGCATATGACCGGATAGACTCATGCACTGTCTGTGTTTGGGCAACTCTGGTAGTCAGCTGACTGGCGGCCACAAAGTGGAGCTCACGAACCGCAACGGCACCTGGCTCTGCTAACAAGGGCACCTGGAGGAGGTGCGTGCTGATTACGTCTTCTTTTGGAATGGACTTTCAGTGGTGGGGCGATGTGGCGCCGGAGTGGCCTTTGCGGTCCAAAACGGTATCATGAGGCGACTGCCCTGCTTGCCGCGAAGCAGCATTGACCGTAATGTGAATCTGCGCCTGCTTCTTCTCGAGAACAAATTTGTTGCCATGGTCAGTGCGTACGTCCAATGACCAGCTCCGATGACGAGAAGAGCAGATTATGTGAAGACCCTCACGCCCTCCTAGCAATTATGCCAAAGGCGGACAAATCGTTTGTCCTCAGTGACTTCAATGTCGGCGTTCGTACAGACCACGCCAACCGGGATAAAGTGCTAGGACGCCATGGGGTCGGCGGCTGAAGCAGCAATTGAATTGCTCTCCCAAGGTCTGCACTTAGCACAACCTTCTCCGGACTAACACATTCCGCTTTCCGATCCGGGAGAAAAACACATAAATACACTTTTGCTCGCGTTACTGGCAGATTCTGGACTATGTCCTGTCTCGGAGGCGTGATCAGCGTGATGTGCTAGTGACCAGGACGATAGGTTGTACTGATGGGCCACCGTCTTGTAGTCTCCTGGACGTGGCTGAAATTGCAACCCTACTGGCGTCCGCAAGACAAGGCAGCACCGAGTGGGTTAAATGCTATATTGCCGGATACGGCTGGCCGTCGATTAGACTTCAACAATTGTTCAAATCTCCGTCTGGAAAAACGACGAACCCAAAATCTGACGCCACTGCTGAGAGTCAGTGTAGGCGATTACGAAACGCAATTAACTCTGATACTCTAAAAGTCCTCTGTCGCACACACCTAAAAACCCTCATTCAAGATCATCAAGGCTTGTCGCGTGGTCGTAAAGACTAGAGAAGTCATCTCCGAAGCCAGTAGAATAGATGCTGACGAGGCGTACTAACAACATAATCACTCAAAATCTACCAGCGTATCCACATTGTCTACGGATATTCGAGGCTCAGATTGAACTCTCTGGATATCTGTGGACCCAATGAAATGTCAGAACCGTCAATCAACTTCTTTACTAAAATACCACTAATGAGACTGCCGTTAACATAATCAATGCAGACACTTTTACCATCCTACCTGTAGTTGGGGTTTGGGTGGAAGGTTCTGGTTGGCGGTTGAGGTGAAAAACAAAGTTACCGTCAGTATCAGGGGGAGAAGGGGATGGTGGGCACTGGGACGGGTAATTATACGCAAGTGACTGACATGGTGGCTTTGGCTCATGGTAACTGTGGGGCCTGTACGAAGTTCTTTTGTGCGCACAGAACTGATTTGTATAGCCTGATTGCAGTCGCCTCTGCTGTCGCCAACAGACGCTGTCCAAGTGATTTTGGATAGCATGACGGGACCTTGTAAATCACTCGGGATGCCTGTCCGGCATCTACACATTGATCTGTGTCTACCATGTGGGCGAGGATAGAACTGTCACCACAATCGCCTCTGCGCCAGTTCTGTCCGCTCAGTTCCAACCTGTTCCCATTGAGATTGAACTCTCTTGTCAAGCATCGGCCTGGTCGGCACTTACGACTCCATCTCACTGAGATCGTGAATGACTACCTGGAGCACCAGTATACATCCATCACACACGCCTCATCTGCCTAAATGCTCCAAGACATTACAAGCACTGCATGAGTAAAATCAACCATAAGCAAGTCATGACAGCGGAGTTCATTGCAAGTTCATCATGACAAACATACATACCTACCTCATACACCTGAAAACTCTTTTACTACCAGCAATACCCAACCACCGCCACTACCAGATCAGCTGCCACAGTCCCATCCTGTTCTTACAACCGTCGCACATTCGTAGCACGTACCACCCTGGTCGGTCGCTGGCGAGCCAATTGTGCTGAGACCGGCGAACCGGTGCCAGAAATACCAATATACACCGGTCGTTCTCGTTTCACATGCAAGCACTGCCGGAAGACATTCAAAAATCGAATGCGCCAATTCGGCCATATGCGGTTCCGCGAAAATCTCCAGTAAAGCACCGCAGTTCAGACCCAGTCGTCGCCTCTCTCTACCTGCACCCACCCCTAAGCTACATATGAACCCACATCACAACACGCGCATACACGCCGCCCCTCGCAATAACATGCACATCTTCAGAAAGCATAAGATCCACCATACCATCGCCGCTATGACGGCGAAACACCGCTTCTCACATCTCACGCCAGTAGAAGGGCTGTCTCTTGATGTAACCTGGTACTGAAGTGGACACCAGGTCGTATGTGACACACACAGACGGGCCATTTAACTGTTTCAGACTTTGCAGCCGACTGACAGCAGTTGGCTGACAGATGGGAAGGTCAACTGGTGCATGGCATCGGGAAGGAAGAGACAGGCCGACACCAGGGATTCATTCTAACGGCAAATCAATGTCTTCTTCACTAGATCAAGTCCGACGCTCTCGAATCTATCATACGTGCTGGGAATCGTGGCTTGAAAGGTTGGCAGCTGAAGAAATTGCTCGCTACTCGTAGTTGAGTATTTTGGAGTGGCTGAAGGACTGAGAGTCGGACTACGATGGGTCACTCTTTGTGGGGTACCTATGACACTCTCAGTGATGTGGAGTCCGGGCCGCCCTAATAGCACCCTGATACACGTAATAGGGATAAATCTGTGCGAGGAACGTGTAGACTGACTCTTTAGCTTTGTCGGACACTACGCCAATCAAACCACCATCTGATTGACAGGCTTGGAAAGTTGAATCGTGCGTGGGAGAGCGAAGAGGAAGTAAGCCTGATATTGGTAAACCCATTCCCCATAGCAGATTAGCGATTTTCTCACTGTAACAAGTCTGATCTTCTCAGATCTTTCATGAAGCGCTAAGAGTCGTGGCATGAAGGACTGTCACCTGACGGAATAACTGGTTCTTGGATGAGCTGTTTGCGAATTAAAGAGAGCTTGCTCCCTCTGCATGCGGTTTGTGAGTAGGAGATTGCAGAGTACAATTTGTACTGATTACTTACAAGTTCGTTTCGCGCGGGCGGTCTTGTATAAATTAGACTTCAGTATCTACATAAATTCCATTCAGGTTGCCATGAAACCAGTTGTTCACACCCTCTGAATTGTTCTTCAGGACTCATGTGCGACCGGTCGATTTGGTCCCTTAGTAGGTATTCTCAGAACTACCCCCTCTTTTGAGCCTACCTTTAAGCGACTCCTAAGAACGTTACTCATTTGACTCGCAGATGGGAAGTTAAAATAAGTGACCGTCACAGCGGACCGAATATCGGGAGTGAAAAGAGCTTACATTAACAACGCGACAGAATATTTATTGCTAACTGAAACGTCCAAACTTTCGGAGATACGACGAGCAATCACTACTTAGGTATAATTCTTTTTCGCCTGCCTGTCGGAGAATCGGTTGGATCGGTCAGGTAACACCTGACACAGGCTGCTGCGTTCACTAGATTATCTTTTGTGTGATGATTCCAGCTGACGCGACAAACTATGCTAGAAGACAAACACGTTTTCGATTATACAAGACACGCCTCTCTGCACATAATCGGCCTTCACCCAGAAGGTGAGAGTACCAAGCAGAACTGCATCTACTGTCTACACGACGATGTTCAAATCCGGGGATAATGAAAAAGAGTTACCATCAAGAACCCGTTGCAGATATTCTCTTCCGCAACGTACACATAAGCAGAAACAACCCACCAAAGAACTCTTTACCGAGCAAGGTTTTCAAACACGTTCGATGAGAAGGGGCCTATCGAAGTTCAGCTAAACCTAAAATGCTGTATATGAGAAAAACTTACTGATTTGATGCTCACGTGACGGCAATACCGCAATATTAGTTAGTTATATCCTTTTAAAAAGAACCTGGACGAGTGCGATCCATTACTACCACTAATTGTGAGTGAGTAAGTCAAACAGAGGGCATCTTTCAAAATACCGACTGCGAGAGCCCCGCTACATCTGCGTCCCCAAGCGAGTTCCATGGTCATATCATTAAAACGTTTAACTTTCACGAGTCAAGCTACTGTACGCTGGTCTGCCAACTTCGTAAAGACGTTAAGGATCGCTTTTAAATGGAAAATAATTGCACTCTGAGGCTTCCAGTAACGAGGAAAGGACGTCAAAAAAACTTGGTTTGCCTGGTGCCAAATACATCAAAGCCACTTACCGTTGGTAGCACTCTTACATCGTGACGAGTGCTCGTGCCAGAAGACTCGGGCTTTTGTATACAGAGAATTTAATTACCTCCATTCAATTACTTTTTCAAAGTAAATTCCGTCAATATTCAAGCTTCTTTTTGCAGCTCCTCGATTAAACTCAGCTCTTCCCTCTCTCAGACGTATGCTTCAGATAACGCTTGGTTTCAATTACGTCGCAGGCTTTCAAAGTCTCTAAATAGGCAATTTTCAGTAGCAAAGGCGAGTATGGCCTTACAGTAAAGGGATAACACCACTATATCCATACAATCAGAAGGTAAACCGACTGTTATAGTATTTGCTCATCGACGCTGGGGGGGCCGGGAACGACCGGTAAGACGCAAATTATATGCCAAAATGGAGATTGAAAGCGATTAAGTTCATCAAAAATATCGTTTGGTATAAGACAGAATTTCAACTGTAGACAAAAAGCCTCGGATTTACGAGAATTTGTCAAACGTATGAAGTTCACAAAACAGGA